CGCAGAAGCTGAAGCCGGTGCTGGAGAAGTGGCTGCGGGAGGCGGAGCAGCGGCAGCGCGAGGGGCAGCAGCACCTGCTGGAGTTCGTGGGGGGCGAGCCGGGCAAGAAGCGCAAGCGCCGCACGTCCTTCACCCCGCAGGCGCTGGAGGCGCTGAACGCGCACTTCGAGCGCAACGCGCTGCCCACGGGCGCGGAGATCACGCGCATCGCGCAGGAGCTGCGCTACGAGCGAGAGGTCGTGCGCGTCTGGTTCTGCAACCGCCGCCAGACCCTCAAGAACACGAGCAAGCTGAACGTCTTCCATGTGCCCTGAGCCCCGTGCCCTGAGCCCCGTGCCGCCCCCGGCCTCTGCCAGCAGCGCTTGGCTGCTTCTGTCCCTCGGCCACCACGCCCGTACCTGTGTCCACACTCGTACCTGTGTCCGGGCCCTCACCTGTGTCCACTCTCTGTCCCTCAGTGACTCCCACATGCCCTAAACTGGGAGCACTGGGAGCTCCCCCTGTTTCCCCCCAACCTCCTGCCAGCAGCACTATGGCCACTGGTTTTGTCTCTCTGCCACCTGTTACCTGCACCACCACACCTGGACCTGCGCCCACCACACCCAGACCTGTGTCCACCACACCTGTACCCGTGTCTGACATTCAACGTCTTCCACACGATCTGAACTGGGAGCACTGGGAACATCCCAGTTCCCAGTCACAGTCCCCCCTGACCACCTGCCATCAGCACTTTGGCCATTGATTTTGTCCTTTGGCCACCCCTTTGTCCCTCCAGCCCCATCCCTGTGCCCACCCCCACTGTGCCCTTCAGTGCACTGAACTGGGAGCGCTGGGAATCCCCTCGGTGTCCCACCAGTCACAGCCCCTTGATCTCCAGCCATCAGCACTTTGGCCACTTTTGGGTTTTGTCCCTTTGGCCATGGGTTTTGTCCCTCTGCCCTGTGCCCACCTGTGGCTGTGTGTGTCCTCCCGTTCTCTCCTCATCACACGACCCGAGGGTGTTGATGTCACTTTCCCCACCTGTGACACGTGGTGACAGACCCCCCCCCCCCGAGTGTCACCCACCCAAAATGAGTGATTTCCATTTTTTTCTGGTTTTTGCCCTTTTTCCTGTGTTCCTGAGGTGATGTCATGGCTCACCAGGGGTGACGCCAAATTTATGTCACCCCCACGCTGGTTTTGCAGGTTCCCCACCTCGTGAGGGGCTACTGGGGGTGATCTCCCATCCTGGGGACGTCCCGTGGGTGGATTTTGGGGACATCACCTCCAGGTATGGGGGGCGTGAACCCCAAAACAGAGGCAGCGCCCCTTCCCCACCTCTCCCTGCCCTGGCCCTGGGGGCTCCAGCCCCTCCGGGGAGCGATGGCAGCGAGAGATTTGGGGGGGACAGGGGACACCGGGGCGCCCGCTGGGACCGCGGCAGACTGATGCACTTGATGTAGTGGTGTGAAATAAACAGTATTTTTCTTTTTTCTTTTCCTTTCTCCTTTTTACAAGATTTGTGGGGGGCGGAGGAGCGGGGCCGGGGGTCCTTCCTCCTCCTCGGCCCTCCCGGCTGAGGCGGGCTCAGCTCAGGCGGCGGGAGCGGGACGCGAACCCGCGGTTCCGAGGGAGGCGCCGCACGGAGCCGAGCGCCGCCGCAGCCACGCCCGCCAGCCAATCTCCGAGCAGTCTGCCCGGCTCAGAGCTTTCTATTGGTTACTCGGGCTGCCCGTCAAGCGGCACGGCCCGATCCCATTGGCTGATCGCGCTGGAGGGGCGGGGCTTCCCTCCTGGCGGCGGGGGCGGAACCGCCGCCTCCATCTTGGCGGAGCAGCGCGTTCGGGGGTCCCGGCCCGGAGCGGGGGGGCCGGGCTGGACTGGGGCGGGCGGGCTCAGATCAGGGGGTCCCGGCCCGGACTGAGGGGTCCCGGCCTGGATTGGGGCGTCCCTGCCGGGACCGAGGGGTCCCTGCCGGAGGCAGCGCCCAGGGCGGTGTAGGATCTGGGGAGTCCCTGAGGGGCACAGCCCCTGGAGGGGAGTGTGGGATTTGGGGGTGCAGCCCCTGCAGGGGAGTGTAGGATTTTTGGGGGGG